AGTACTTAAATGATCTTGGAGCTTAATTGGAGGTTTGGGTTGATCTTGAAGACAAGGATGCAAGACTAGAAGAAGATCTTGAGCTCCAATTTGTAATCTCTCTCTTCTCTCTCTAGAAACTCACCCTCTTCTCTTGGGTTTAAGAACCCTATGTCTAGATTTTGGTTTATGTTGATGTATGTGACAAATTCCATGTTTGATTGATGATTTTACTTAATTGATGGATGCCTTCACGAATGACTTCATGCATTGAGAAAATCCACTTAGAGCCCATTATTGGCGTATTTGGGTCACTCCTATCGTATCTTGTCCGGGTAATCACCGAGGGAGTTGATTCAATTGGTTCCTCGCAATATATGAAACTCTAGGTTGAATAGAGCACCTACCCATCTACCGATTCACCTTTCCGGGTCCATCCCGAAGGAGTCCTTCTCCAAACGCTAGAGTATTTGAGTCGATCAAACTAGGAGGATACTTGACTCGTTCTAACTACAAAATCCCGATCGACGGCCAAGTATAACCGCAGACCGAGTGTAGCGTAGGGCAAGCAAGCAATAAGAATTTATCGTACCACAGGGATCTAGGCTTACCCTACTTCAGGTTTAGGGTTCGTTATCTAGCCAACCTAGGATAGTGATTAATAAAACCAAACTAACTAACCTAGACTAACAACTAATCCTAGATAATAACAAGGTAGAGAGCTCCTTTGGTTTGAATCCTCCTAGCTCTGTCATATGATCGATGTTGAGTACCATCCTAGCTCGATCAACCCACTATCCTACGTTAGGAGATGAACTCCCTCAGGACATACCCGGAATAGTGAAGTGATGGATGGGTAGGAACTCTATTCAACCAAAGGCACCCCTATATCGGAGGAGATTGATTGAATATACTCCCGAGGGAATTGCTCGGATGATATGGGGTGAGGAGTTGTTTCCCTCCTAGGTCAAAAGCTCGATTGACTCAATTACCCTACCGTTAGAAGATGGACTACCTCGGGAATGACCCAGAACGGCAAATCGATGAATGTGGTAGGCTCTATTCAAACTAGTGCAACCCTATATTGTAGGAGATTGATGGAATCGACTCCCTTGGGGATTACCCGGACGATATAGGGTGAGGAGTGAACCAAAGACGCCAATAATGGGTTCTAAGGGGATTTTCTCCCTCCTAGGTCAAAAGCTCAATACATGAAAATGGAAACCCAACTCATGTCATTCATGAAAACATCCATCAATTAAGTAAAATCATCAATCAACCATGGATTGTGTCACATACATCAACATTAACCCCAAATCTAGACCTAGGGTTCTTAAACCAAGAGAAAAGAGGGTGAGTTTCTAGAGAGAAAAGAGAGAAATTACAAATTGGAGCCCAAGATCTTCTTCTAGGCTTGAATCCTTGTCTTCAAGATCAACTCAAACCTTCAATTAAGCTCCAAGATCACTCAAGCACTCTCTCTCTCTCTCTCTCTCTCTCTCTCTCTCTCTCATTAGAACTCCCCTTTGGTGTTTTGGGTTGAAACCCTAGAGAGAGAACAAATCCCTCTCCAAAAACCAGCTCCCTCTTTTCCTTCAGCTCAAAGCCCTTTTTATACCCAGATCGGGTTCAGTTCATGGTCTAATTAGGCTTTAGTTCACGGCCGCGTTGATCAATTCACCATCTTAGAGACAGTGAATTGGTTGGCGACTTCACGGTTTGGGGATTCAGTTCACGATCTTAGAGATCGTGAACTGACTTGAAACCAGTAACCTGTAAAATCGTGCTGGAAATTGGTCACTTCACGATTTGGGATTTCAGTTCACGATCTTAGAGAACGTGAACAGGGCTTAGCCTCAACTTTCTGGCTCGCATTGACCTCCGAATGACCCAAAACTCATCCCAAACTTTCCCTCACGTGCTTGGACTTGAAATGTAACGAAACAAGCACAACCTAGCGTAAAATAGGTTGAGATACGGTGATCTACTAAGCATAACGGATAAGAAATGAAGGGTAAAATGTGTACATTTAGGCCCGAATCACTCTCCCACACTTAGACGTTTGCTTGTCCCCAAGCAAACCAAGTACAAAACAAGGTAAGATTACAACTTCTTTTTCAACAAAATTTGTAGGGCATGTCATAGGGCACAAAATGAATGAATCATAATGGTTGTTTCCACAGCGATCTATGAAAAAAAAACAAGGTAATCATGGCAACCACAACAAACGACATTCAAATGTATTAAGATTATGCAAATGAAGAGTTCTCACATTATTCACGAACCAACACACAACATGCCTTGACGACTCACCAATCACAGTTACTCATGCATGAAGACCACATCATAGGAATGAACGATCGAGAAACCTAGGTCCTCACCTGGGAAAAGGAAATGAACAAAACATGAAAAAGAATCGCTCATTGTCGACTAGTGGGGTCAGGACCATTTTATGCAAAAGATGTGCATATTCACGCTCAATCCTAACGTCTCTATACCATGTTGGTAGCCTCTAAATGTTCGAGCTCACAAGATGGATGTCGTTGCTAGCTTGTTCGGAGGTCTTAGACATGGGTTCAAATGATTGGCTATGGTCTAGGAAATAGGGAAAATACATTTTGGGTGGTGGCAAACATAGCATATGGTTCCACATTTCCATCCTAGAACCACAAAAGGTTTAAGGTTTTGATTAGAACCCTCTCTTATATTCAATGGTCACTAGAATCGGCTAAAAACTGCCTTCCTCAATTCCGAACCATAACCACTCACCAAAGCAAGTCACACATACTTTCTTGCTAGATTTGCTATTCAATTTTAAGCACAAGAGTGTAGAAGTCAACAACATGTATGCGTTTATATAGCTTGCATGCCAAGAAACACTTCTAAGAGCATGTTCAACATTTATTATATTTTTGGTGGCCACTCTCTTTTCTTCTTTGCCCTTTTATTGATTTTTTTTTCTCTTTTTCTTCATTTTTCTTTTCTTTTCTCTTTTCTTTGAGAGCCATAGAGAGTTATATACACAAGCTGCATTTTTTAACTTAAGGAACAATGCTCACTTTGAAGAACTACCTCCAACACTCACTTTTTCATTATTAGCAAACCATACACAAATTACTCATGTGGACCTCATTTAAGCTCAAACGATATGAATGGAGCTTCCAAACACAAGGGTGACTCGATAACGGTTTAGACACGAAGAAAGTAGGGGGTTGTTCTATCTAAATCAATCAAGCTCAAGTAGCAAGGGCTACCTAACACGAGATTGACCCTTAGATACACGACTCAAAGGGGGTTGACTAAGGGATGATATGATCATGTCGGTCAACTTTTGGGTCGTGGGCTAATCTTATGCCTCCATCTTCCTCGCTAGAAACAACGTAAATGCTATGCATCATGTGAGGGGGGATCTATCGCACAAGAACGAAATGAACGAAACAAGTCTCACATAGCTACCAAGGTTCTCAATCATTAATTCTAATTCCCTAAATTCGATGCATATGCAACTGTGAAAAGCAAGTAATTGATTCAAAACATCTATTGGTTCACAAACACATGAGAAATGAACCTATGCGCAAACCTAATACTAGTCTCAATCATCATAATAGGTTGCACATAATCACAAGCAGATCATCCATAGACAATGCTAATAACCACGATATTCAAAACAAAAGACCAAAGGTGCCACTATGATCATGCAAATATAGACGTTGCTATGCTTGGAGCCCTCAATTTTTTTCAAATTTGGGCATTCGAGGAGGCTCCAAGCATTCATAATCACACAAATCATCCACACACATGCATAAAAGAACACCCCAAAAACTTAAGCTTGGCATTTCCCTCAATGGCGTAAAGTAAGGAGGTAGAATGATGTTACCGGGCACGATGTGAATGTTTGTGGTCGGGATCGGAGGTCGGGTGAGATCTGAAAGAGAAAGGTAGCGTCCAAAACACCACCAAAATCTCTTCAAATGGTCGTCTTGTTGAAGCGAAAAGAAAACAAACCAATTGTGGTTGGGTTGCCTCACACCAAGTTCTTCTTTAACGTCATAGAGTCGGGAGGTTACTCCTCAAGTTTTGATCCACCCAAGAACCTCCTAGAATTTGAGGTTCTCGTCGGTGAGGTGGTGTCTCAAGTCACGAGCTTTGGAGGAATCCATGATTGAGGGCTCGTGAAATTGAGTTGTCATAAGGCTCCACCCACGAGACCTCTCCTTTTTTCCTTCTTCATTTTTCGCTTTGACCCGCACCATTGATATGATACCAAATTTCCAACCATTCACGTCACAATTACTTGACAAAGAAGCTATCGAAGTTGGGAAGAAGATTGGCAGAATTTGTGTTGGGACAGTTTCGAGATGCCTACTTTGGAGGCATGGTTCTCACAATTGGCTCACTGAAAATTGGAGTTCAAGGGTTTGTTTTAAAGATAAATTTGCCATCTTTCTAATGGTATGATTTTTGGATCCAGAAGAAGTCATTAAGGTTGTTTTCCAAGGCCTCAAAGTATAAATATGTGATCATGAAGCCTACTTTGGAACTCAATTCAAGGAGTATGGATCTTATTCGAGATCAAAGGCTCCCACAACATGAAACTAGGTATGTTTACCTACCAAGGGAAGGAATTGGATGAAAGATCGGAGTTCTAGAAGGCCTCGAACAAAAGGCATGAAGTTTGTACGAAAGCTGCTGTTGGATTGTTTGCTGGCAGCTTACTTGCGCTTGAAGAAAGAGAGTTTAAATCCGAATTTTGTGTCCTTTTTAGTGGAGACTTTTACCTTAATTATTTCCTAGTCCTCTTACGTTTGTATTTGATTTTTATTGTCTTTAAATAGCTTTCAATTTACGTTGTAATAGTTAGAAGATTATTGTTGAATGAAAATAGCTCCGACGTGAGTGTTTTGAGTTCTTGACTGTGTCTCGAGAATTTACCTATTGTCTTTAGCTTCGAGTGGATTCCGTAGATAATTTCAAGACCCTTGTTCAAGCTATTCCGTGGAAGATTCCAGAATCGTTTAGCAAGTTCTCTTATCAATTGATTAATCACCTCGATTGTGGCGAGAATTCTACTTACCCGTTTAAAGTGGCATCATAGCCTTAAGTTCATGTCAGTGGTTTATCAAGTGGCATCATAGCCTTAAGTTCAAGTCAGTGACGAAAAGGATTGACGGCTGTGTTTTAGACAAAAACTCAGCACGAAACAGAGCAACAATATAATGGCGCCAGCAGAGTGGTTACCATCCATGATTTTCACGCGGTGTTTGATACAAGAGAACGTGTGCTTGGTTCTCGTTGATGGAGGCAGGGAGAGGAATTTTATTTCCTCTAGGGTCGTGAGCAATCAAGGCTTCAATCACAGCTACATCTGAAGCCCTATATCGTTCAATTGCCATACGAAGAACACTCAAGCTTCGTGATTTCCCAAGTGGCCGTAAAGTTCACAATTGGTCGATATGAAGACCAGGTTCTGTGTGATATGGTATACAACCTTCCCAACCATATCGTGTTGGGGCAGCCTTGGTTTCGAAATCGACAGGTTGAATTTGTTGGCAGAAGAAGCAGAAAATTCAGACTTCGGAAACAAAAGAAAACGTTTGTTTTGATTCCTTTGTCGTAGGAACAAGCTGTTGACGATTTGACGAAGGTCAGAAGACTCCAAGACGAGTATCAGACGGCCTTGTTGAAGACACCGTTGATGTTGAGGAGAAATCTGGCAATGAATCAAACCAGCTGCAACACCTTTGTTTTTCGCCGCAAAAACAGAGCGCCGAAGCAAGTAGTGCTGCTGACAACGAACATGCCAAGCCAACGCAGCACGACGGATCAGAGGCGTTCGTGGAGGTTGATGGAAGGTCTGGAGAGCGAGGGTAAGTCCTGGTGAAGGCTGTCAACGTGCAAACGGCGATGAAAGTAGAACGCCCTGCATCACCAGTAAAACAGAGCGTCGAGCAGGCTCTCATGGCTGGACCATTCGCTGAGGATTCGTACGACGCCACCGGAGAAGAAACATTCAATCCCACCCCCATCAACGTTTGAATTTGATTCATTGGAAGTGAATTTGTCATGAATTGAAGAATCAAAGCTAAAAAAACCTATGTTTTTTTTTCGAACAACGAGAAGAAAGAGCCTCTATTACGTAGCACGTTCGAGCTCGATTCGAGCAAAATGGCCCATGTAGAATCGTTCCATAAGGTCCATGGAATGTGTCGAAATCCTCAATTTGTTCAGGAAACGTTCTAATCAAAAACACCCAATTCGCAAAACTCGGGCCTAAACGTGAAGAAAAATGAAGCCGAGGAGTGCGAATCGGTTGGAGAGATTGGGGACGATTCGAGGCAAACTGCTGATATAGAATCATGATGCGAGGGTTTCCAAAGCTGTAGGAAGTCTCAATTGCTTCCAAGGATGCCTGAATCAGAGACACCTAATTTTGAAGTGGGTTCACTGGTTTCTGGAATTAGATCATCGGATTCTGGAATTTTTTTTTTCCCGACGGCGGGAAATTCGGGAAATTTGGGAAATCCAATTGGTATCGAAGTAGGAAGAGTCGAAGCTTGAAGTTGAGTGAATTCGTTTCCTGGTATCAAGGCGTGTATGAAGGGAGCCTTCAATTGGATCGAGATGGCCTTGAAAGGAAAGCCCCAAATTCAAAGCTCTCGCCGGAAAACACGAACACGGCGGAATCTACACTTTTTTGGCCGGAATCTGGAAATTTGCACGAGCATATTCTGGGTCAAATTTCTGTCAATTCTTGTGTGGAAAGGATCCATCGGAGTCCTACAAAGCTGCAGAGACAGATTGAAGGTGAGTTTGAAGTTGTCAATTTTCTGCCGAAAAATATGATTTAGCAGCCCTCTTTTGTTCCAATTTGGGATCAATTCTGTGAACGGATTACAAACCATTCACGTCAAGAGGGGCAACACTTTTTCAAGACGGGAAGCCTGATATGATACGAAATTTCAAATCATTCACGTCGCAATTACTTGACAAAGAAGCTATCGAAGTTGGGAAAAGGAAAGGCAGAATTTCGTTAAGTGTTGGGACAGTTTCTAGATGCCTACTTTGGAGGCATGGTTCTCACAATTGGCTCACTGAAAATTAGAGTTCAAGGGTTTGTTTTAAATATAAAGTTTCCATCTTTCCAATGGTATGATTTTTAGATCCATAAGAAGTCATTAAGGTTGTTTTCCAAGGCCTCAAAGTTGCTACCTCAAAACTGGAAAACTGCTAGGAAATTGTTTTAACTATAAATCTGTGATCGGAGCATGGATCTGATTCGAGACCAAAGGCTTCCACAACATGAAACTAGGTATATTTACCTACCAATGGAAGGAATTGGATGAAAGATCGGAGTTCTAGAAGGCCTCGAACAAAAGGCATGAAGTTTGTACGAAAGCTGCTTTTGGATTGTTTGCTGGCAGCTTACTTGCGCTTGAAGAAAGAGAGTTTAAATCCGAATTTTGTGTCCGTTTTTAGTGTAGACTTTTACCTTAATTGTTTCCTAGTTCTATTAGGTTTGTATTTGGTTTTTATTGTCTTTAAATAGCTTTCAATTTACGTTGTAATAGTTAGAAGACTATTGTTGAATGAAAATTGTTTTGAGGTCTTGAGTGTGTCTCGAGAATTTACCTATTTTCTTTAGCTTTGAGTTTCGTAGCTAATTTCAAGACCCTTGTTCAAGCTATTCTGTGAAGGATTCCAGACTCGTTTAGCAAGTTCCCTTATCAGTCGATTAATCTCCTCAATTGCGGCGAGAATTCTACCTACCCATTTAAATTTTCATTGGAGAGTTTGTGCTACGTAATTATGAACTAAAGCCCCCCCCCCCCCCCCCCCCCCGTGCTTTATCAACAATGTAGTGCTTCATCGTTTGACTTCCATCGCATCCATCAAGAGGGATCACCGATGGTTTGGACTTGGCTTGGTAAAGAGCCGCAAATGGGTCCTTCTCGAGTAGCGCATCAAGGTCCGGTGGAAAGCATTGGTAGCTCTTGTAACTTGTGGATGTTTCATCCACCTTGACCTCGTCCTTATCTTGGACACCACTTGATCCTTCTACTTGAACCTCGACCTCCCTTCTGTCTTTTTCAAATTATTCCTACCCATGGGAACAATCAAGACCTTCCCTTTCTTCAATGCTTACTTCCTCCCCTTCAACCTCTTCCTTCTCCTTCACATTCATGTCTTCAAGTACGATTTGGAGGGCAATATGTCATGCAAAATCATATAAAGGATTCTCTTTCTTCTCCACCAAAGTGACTTGGTCTTCAACCCTCTTGATCATCCTCACCACGGGAGCTCTCCGAGGTGAGTTGCTCTTTCTCCACACGGTTGTCAATGATCTCCCTTTCAACCTCCTCATTCTCTTCCAATGATGAGAGGCGATAGCTTGCACAAGCACGTGCCACCTTCTCTTCTAATGTTAAACCGGGAGGAGGGAGGGGTTGGAAATCTGTGTTAGAGCTTGTTCTTTCAAATTTCTCCATGGCAAGCTCCAACTTAGACTTCACTTCCGGTTGGGGAAGATCCAAATTCAAGCACCCTCATCGGTGCCTCGAGCAAACCGCTCCACCATGAGCTCCAATTATCTCTTCGGCTCCGATGGTGGAGTGGCACATTGTCTTGAGGGGTATGCCCCATGAAAGCTTCCATGGCCAACTCCAACTTGAATTTCTCCTCGAGCTGTGGAGGGAAATATTCTTGGTATGGGGAAGCCTCTGCATATCCCCATTGGCATGGTTCTTCTTGGAAGGGAGGTTGACCATAAAACCCGGTTCCTTAGCTTCCATCCTCTTGGTTGTCCCCTGAAGGCCCGGGGTACCCACATTCGAGTGGTTGTGGATACCCACACAGGTTGTGAAAGCCATTGGGATCCATAATTCAACCTACAACTACAAAAAAATGAAAAGAAAATCAAACAAACACAAACCACCCTTCAAAGAGAAGAGTGGGTGAACGAAACACAAACGAAACACAAAACAAAAACAAAATGGCTAAAGTAACAGCCTAACCCTTTTTCAAATAACCTAGAATGGCTCCCCCGCAACGGCGCCAAAAACTTGACTCGTACTAACTACAACATCACGATCGACAACCATGTATAACCACGACCCACGGGGATCTATGCTTACCCTACTACAGGTTTAGCGTTCATTATCGAGCCAACCTAGTATAGTAATTAATACAACTAAACTAACTAACATAGACTAACCACTAATCCTAGCTATTTACAAGGTAGGGAGATCCCTTGGTTTGAATCCTCCTAGATCCGTCATATGATCGATGTTGAGTACCATCTGAGCTTGATCGACCCACTATCCTATCATTCGGAGATGAACTCCCTCGAGACGGACCCGGAACAGTGACGTGATGGATGGGTAGGAGCTCTATTCAACCTTGTGAACCCCTATATCGTAGGAGATTGATGGAATCGACTCCCTCTGGGATTGCCCGGATGATATAGGGTGAGGATTTGTTACCCTCCTAGGTCAAACGCTCAATTCACTCAATTACTCTCCCGTTAGGAGATGGACTCCTTCAGGAATGACCCGGAACGGCGAATCGATTAATGTGGTAAGCTCTATTCAACCTAGGGCAACCCTATATCGTAGGAGATTGATGGAATCGACTCCCTCGGGGATTACCCGAACGATATAGTGTGTGGAGTGACTCGAATACGCCAATAATGGGTTCTAAGTAGATTTTTCTCCCTCCTAGGTCAAAAGCTCAATACATGAAAATGGAAACCAAATTCATGTCATTCATGAAAACATCCATCAATTAAGTAAAATCATCAATCGAACATGGAATGTGTCACATACATCAATGTTAAACCCAAATCTAGCCCTAGGGTTCTTAAACCAAGAGAAGAGGGTGAGTTTCTAGAGAGAGAAGAGAGAAATTACAAATTGGAGCCCAAGATCTTCTTCTTCTTCTAAGCTTGAATCCTTGTATTCAATATGAACCCATGCCTCTAATTAAGCTCCAATATCACTCAAGCACTCTCTCTCTCTCTCTCTCTCCCTCTCTATAACTCCCCTTCGGTGTTTTGGGTTGAAACCCTAAAGAGAGAATCGAATCCCTCTCCAAAGACCAGCTCCTCCTTTCCTTAAGCTCAAAGCCCTTTTTATACCCAGATCGGGCTCAGTTCACGGTCTTAGGTTTCAGTTCACGACCGCGTTGATCAGTTCACGGTCTTAGAGATAGTGAACTGACGACTTCACAGTTTGAGGCTTTAGTTCACGGTGTCTAAGACTGTGAACTGACTTGAAGCCAGTACCTGTAAAACTGTGTTGGAAATTGGTCACTTCACGGTTTGGGCATTCAGTTCACGTTCTTAGAGATCGTGAACTGAAGCTCCAACCCGTGAACAGGGCCCAACCTCCACTTTTGGCTCGTTTTGACCTATGAATGACCTGAAACTCGTCTCGGACCTTCCCACACGTGATAGGATCTGACATGTAACAAAACAAGCACAACCTAGCGTAAAATTTATAGTGGGATGGTGATCTACTAAGCAAGGATGAGATAACATCACAACCCCCTCACGGGTTGTGAGATTCACAACCCACTTTGTAGCCATTAGACACATTCTCTCTCCTGTCTCATTCTTCTATTTTTTAAATGGATGGTTAAGATTATATGACGGGTAGTTTTGGAACTAGGAAAAAACTAACCACATTGGATTACTACCCCTATTAATTTTCATATTATTTCAACTTTCTCTAAAAGGTAGATTACACATAAAAAGAACTAGGAAACTTGTGTGAGCACATAGCTTTGTTAATACGGGTTTCAAATAAGCGTAGTAAGCGAATAGTTGGAAATGTAAATAGATAGTTGATAATATGGAAATGTAATTAGATAGTTGATAATAACTTGAATCAGAAGACGATATCAACAGGTTATACACTAAATAGTAGTAATTGGAAGTAATATAACAAACGAGATTGGTAATAGAAAGGATTCATGTCATCACTACCCAAATAAAAAAGAAAGTTTGCGAGTTACCAACCTGGTTCAAATCCCTGGGCCTATGCACCTCCTTACAAATATCTAGACATTGGATCCTTGTTCCTCTGGAAATCTTTTTCTCTGCCTTGATCGTACCCTATGATATGAATGGAACTTTCTCCAGGAGTGTGTAGAAGGAAGTGTTTCTTATATGTATTTCTGTAGAGTTTTCTTTTCTCCTCCAATCCGTCCACCCTAACAAAGAGCATAAGGAGATCATTTAAAGCAAACCAAACGGCCACGTGTCACAATATGATTCGTCCATTTTTTTAATCTAACTTTGAAGAGTGTGTCTGGTCAGCTGGATAAGATATGGTCATACCGAATTGGTCAAGGTTGGTTTATGGTTAGTTTTTGGACAGAACTGGTTGGCCGAATTGGGTCTGTTGGGTTTGGGCTGGATTTCGTTGGGACCGATTTAGTTTCTCTGCTGGCCAATTGGGTCTCTGGTTTTGGGTTAGAAACTGAGCTCGAGTGACAGCCTATTTTGGGCTTAAAAATCTTGAATTGGACTAATTGGTCTCTTCTCTTTTTTTCCAGGTATTTGGGCTTGGTTGACTGAGAAAGCTGGGCCAGTGGGCTAGATTCATGCCTCAAGGCTCAAATATTTCTCTCTTTGTAATTGTATATGTACAAATCAAATTGCGTGGCCCAAATTTTGTAGAGTTAGCATTAGTCATTGTAATTAAATCTAATTCTCGCTTTATTTAGAGGTCATTACCCAAGTTGTACGATGTATCAACTTTGAATCTTGATAATAAAGCTCATTCCACTATTCAATTTTTCTCATTTCAAATACCGAATCCAAATCCGAACTCGAACAACAAAATTTGCACTATAGTCATTTCTTCCATCCAATTGGGAATTTATATTTAAGATTTGCCATTGCTAATATTAACTTAAACCGATCCTATCTTAAATAATTATGCCCTAGAATCGACTAGGAGCAAATTTGATAATTGTTGGTTCATATTGACTTGCAACTGCTAGTCGCAACCAAACTAGCTTCAACTTCCTTTTTAAATATAATCATAGTACGACGTGACAATAATTATTTTCAATAAAACGATTATTCCGGACAAAATGTGGTGTCTACACCATTGCAGAATTAAATCTATACCATTACAAGAAAACTACCAATATAAACAATCTATACCATTACCAAAGTCAAACAAATACCAAAACAACCAATACCACTACTACTACGAAATTAAAACAATACCATTGCATAAATAAATCCATACAAACACTACCAAAACAAATACAGAGAAACTACCAAAGCATAATGCACCCATTACCGAACCAAATGCAGATAACTACTAAAACATAATGCTCCATCTAACCAACACAAATGCAGGTAACTTCCAAAGCGTAATGCACACACTACCAAAGAAAATGCAGGTAACCACCAATGCATAATGCAAACACTACCAAAGCATAATGCAAACAATACCAAAATAAAATGCAAGGTAGCTACCAAAGCAAATCCTCTACCAATGCAAACACTACCATTCTAGATTACCTGCAGAAGCAAAGCTGAACGCTCCCTCCGGCAAACTGTATTTGATCTCTCTGATCGGGTTCCTGTTTCTGACCACGACCTCGACTAGCAATCCATGTTCGGAACCCAGCGCCGCCGTCACCAATGTCGGAGGAAGATTCAGAAGTGGCGGGGGAATTGTCGTCGTCGGGGCGGTCCCGATCGGGGACGCGAGCGTCCATTGATGGTGTTGCACCTTCTGAGAGAGAGAGAGAGAGAGGGAGAGAGGGGGGGATGCTAGGGATGGGAGATTATGCGAGAGAGGAGGGGAAGGGAGGAGGGAGGTGGAGGGGGTTCTCGTTAGGGAGGAGGGACGTCGGGAGGTAACGGAGGAGGGAGCGTGGTGGTTGGCGACGAGTTGCGGTAGGGTAGGATTTGGATATAATTTATAGAGTAACCAGGTGTGGTATATTTTTTAATTCCAAAATTACTCTAATTTAATCTTCATCGTTAATTTAAAATTAGGGAGAAAAAAGAAATAATAAATGGTGTAGATTAAGGTAGCCACCGTGATTACTAAAAATTAAGTAACCACCCTAACTCATCCCGTAGCATACCACTGCCAATGGTAGCTACCACTACCAGGTACCAGATGTTAGTGGTACCAAATGATAGTGGTATGATACCATTACCAGCTACCACATGGTAGTGGTAGCGCTGTACTGGTAGTGGTACCAATGGTAGTGGGAGCGTACACACTGACAGAGTGGTAATTTTTGCAGGTGGCCGGAGCGAGTCTGATTCTAGGATTTCACCAGAGAAAGTCTACCAATCGAAAAATCAGCCGGTCAGAGTGGATTGGGTGTTGGAAAAGGAGGAGAGAGATAGAAAGATAGAGAGAGAGTTGTATTTATTGTAGGATTTAAATTTAAAAAAGCATGTATTTAATATGGGTTTTAATTCCCAATCTGTAATTAATACAAAAAAATTAATTAATAAATTGATTTTTTTTTCATACCCAAAATGCATTTGGTTGTGAATCTCACAACCCCATTAGGGGAAGTAACCGTATCCCGCTCCTATTAAGCATAACGGATAAGAAATGAGGGGTAAAATGTGTACATTTGGGCCCGAATCAATACTCAGCATCGATCCAAAGGTCGGAAATAGGGGGGATTTAACCCAAGAGAGCTCCAAACCTTGTAATATCTAGGTTAGTGGTTAGTCTAGGTTAGTTACCTTAGTTTTATTAATCACTATCTTAGGTTGGTTAGATAACGAACCCTAAACCTGAAGTAGGGTAAGCCTAGATCCCCACGGTACGATAAATTCTTATTACTTGCTTGCCCTATTCTACATCCGGTCGCCGGTTATACTTGGTCGTCGATTGGGATGTTGTATTTAGAAGCGAGTCAAGTTTTTGGTAGTTATCAAATTGTATATAGTATAGAACATGCCTAGTTGGCAATGTGTTTTGCCAACAACACCTTTTTTAATGACATAACATAACTGACTCATTCTAAATACATATCCCTATCGTCGGCCAAGTATAATCGTGGACCGGGTGTAGCATAGGACAAGTAAGCAATAATAATTTATCGTACCACGGGGATCTAGGCTTACCCTACTTCAGGTTTAAGGTTTGTTATCTAGCCAACATAGAGTAGTGATTAGAAAAAAAATAAACTAACTAACCTAGTAAACCACTAACCTAGCTATTTACATGGTTGGAAGCTCTCTTGGGTTAAATCCCCCTATTTCCGACCTTTGGATTGATGTTGAGTACCATCCTAGCTCGATAGACTCAAATACTCTACTGTTTGGAGATGGACTCTCTCAGGAATGACCCAGAACGGCAAATCAATGGATAGGTAGGTGGTCTATTCAACCTAGAGTTTCTTATGTCGCTAAGAGACCAACTGAATCAACTCCCTCGAGATTACCTGGACAATATACGATAGGAGTGACCCGAAGACGCCAATAATGGGCTCTAAAGGGATTTTCTCCCTCCTAGGTCAAAAGCTCAATACATGAAAATGGAAACCCAACTCATGTCATTCATTAAAACATCCATCAATTAAGTAAAATCAACAATCAAACATGGAATTTTACACATACATCAACAACAAACCGAAACCAAGACCTAGGGTTCTTAAACCCAAGAGAAGAAGGTGACTTTCTAGAGAGAAGAGAGATATTACAAATTGGAGCCCAATATCATCTTCTTCTAGGCTTGATTCCTTGCTTCGAAGCTTGATCAATGCCTTCCATTAAACTCCAAGATCACTCAAGAACTCTCTCTCTCTCTCTCACACACATTAGAACTCCCATTTGGTGTTTTGGGTCGAAACCCTAGAGAGAATCAATTTCTTCTCCAAAAACTAGCTCTCTCTTCTCTCTCCCCGCAGTTGTCCTTTTATTTAGCCCGACAGTCACGATTCACGGTCACTGTTCACGACCGTGAACATTAAGCTTCAACCGTGGTCCTAGCAAAAAATGCGGGAGGATGTTGTCGTTTGGTCTGACATCACGGCTCGTGGTTGATTTTCATGGTCTGGCGACCGTGAAAACCTTGAGGTCCAGTGAGGTGCGCAAAATGTTCTGTTTCTCGGCTAGCTTCACGGTTACGGGGCAATTGTCACGGTCTTTGGATTTTGCTCTGCTTTTGCCCTTTTTGACCTCCAATCATCCCAAAACTCGTCCCCGACCTTCCCACACATGCTAGAACCTTAAATATAAAAAAAAATAGCACACCCTAGCGTAAAATAGGTCGAGAGACGATGATTTAATAAGTCAAACAAAGATAAAATATGTGTAAATGAGCCTGAATCAATAACCTATTCATAAAAAAATGTACAAATCAATCTAAAAATAGAAAACAATTCTTAAATCTCTCCTCTTTAGGTCTGACCTCTCTCAAAATCAATGACCAAGTGCATAACACTTGCAGGTTAGCCTGCACATGTTCAACACCGTACAATTGTTGGACCACTCCACAACTAGGGTTGCAAGTGAGTCGAGTCGAGCCGTGGTTTGACATAGTCTGGACTCAACTCATTAATTATCGAGTCAAGCTCGAGCTCAACTTGTTTATTACAACATTGGCTTGTATTCGACTCAAGTTTGGCTCAATAACGAACTCACTAGCTCTACTCGAGTTTGGCTCATCAATTAGCTCACGAGAACGGCGAGAGCTCGTGTATCATATAATTTTATTATACATAATTTCTCTTTTAAATTATAAATGAAACATATTTGATGATAAGCTCAAATTCTTTATCATCATATGTAATGAGATATATAATCTAACAACCTATCAATTATCAATAATCCAATTATAAACTATTAATTGATTCACTATTATCAATAATCCAATTATAAACTATTAATTGATTCACTCAGAAGTTGATAGTTGAGGTATAGTTCGCTTGCCATATTATCGAACCAACTTATAGCTCAAAATGAACCAACTCACAAGTGGATTTCAACAACCACCTAGTTGAGCTGGCTCACTAACCTTACTCACTAACCTAGAAGCCAAACAAGGCTTAGTTCAAATTCTGTCTCGTTAGTAAACAAGTCGAGTGTCAAATGAGATTTTTCTCAAACCGAACACCACTCGTGAACAAGTTGGCTCATTTGCAACCCTATCCACCAAATAGAATGTATCACGCAAGGCCAAGTGACGGACGGGACTCTTGACATATAACAATATTATTATTATTATCAAATCAAAATACGATTTAATCAAATCCAAAATTTAGGCTTCCATAGCTATCCCCAAGTGACAGATTACAAATTGCATTATCTACCTATAAGGTGCCCTTGGTTGGTTTTCCTCGTCAATGCCTCCGTGTGTATACGTGTGTTTTGGTACAAAGTTACCGTCTGTCAACCGACAATGGAACGAACTCTGTAATTGGGGACAACAATTATACTCCACTGACCAAATGCTTGCTCCTCAATCTTCCCTTCCCATCCCTTCCAGCTAGCCACTATTTACGGTTTCGATACAAACTGCACTTGTCCGCATTTCCAAAGAGTCTAAGAAGCCACAAGTCAAACCCTGTCTAGATTAACCACCTTCGACCCACAAGTCTTCTTCCCACAGCTAGAAAAGAGCTTGGATTGGTTCTTCTCCACCCACTTCCACCTCAAGCCACTAACTGTATGAATATCGACTAACTTACTGATACCTTTTTTAACACATCAGTTGATTTGTGCAAAGAGGATTTCATTCCATGAGTCGGGAACCCCAGGCAGACACCAATGCAAGCAATCTTGCACACCGGGTGCCGCTGTTAGGCTGTATTTTGAGATATGACCCTCGTCCCTAAGCTGGGACAAAGATGTTATATCCAAAATCTTAACCCCTGTTCCCTGCACCGCACTCCTGGCACTGTAATCACTAGACTCCTCTTCCACTAGTTCCTTGCCTATAGACATGGGCGTCATGTTGTCACAACTCCCACCGGTGTTCCATTCCCCACCAAAGAAATGCCTGGGAGATAGGCTACGATAGAAAGCCTGTAACTGCGGATTCTTCGGCAGCTGGCTGTCCACCCAACTAACAATACTGTGAATTGTGAAATTCTTGGCATCCCCCATAGCTATTAGCCTCTTGTTGGTATTCTTGACGCCACCAACATACATGACCCACCGATTAGCATTCAGCTTCCCGCGGTTCCAGTGGTGCCCCGTGTTAAGAACCAGGACGTGAATTCTATGCAGATTTTCACGCAGGAAAGATGGCGGTCGATCGAGGTGCATGGCGTAGTATGTGTCTGGATCTTCAGTGTTGATAGGTTCCACATCACAGAGGCAAGAAGACCAGTAATAAAGGACAGTGGTGTTCGTGGTGGGGAACCTATAAGCCCACCCACTCGGACGGCCATTTTCAGGGGCGGTAAATCCATACTCATCTCCTACATCGAGGACATCGTTTCTTTCTAACCCTCCAGTGATCATACACATTAGAGACTGGAATTGCTGGCGTCCTAATGAATCTCCAACAAAAGCTAGGGTCTTTCCATGCATCCTGTTTCAGGGGCAAAAAGGGGGAAAAGAAGCAAAATACTTATGTATCTCGTATCAAATACCATGACAGCAAACACACCTCATATCTTTCAGCACAAAATTTCTAGTCTGTTACTCAAGCAAGGGAAAAACAATTGGGGAAGAATAAAATGTCAGTAACTAGCAACACCAAATCAGGGCCAGTGATGTTATCAGTAAAATTCCGCTAAAATTTCTTATCATTATCTGTTTAATAGAGTAAACTAACACAAGCAAATCATACCTTTTCAAGAACTCGTCACCTTTGAATCGCTTCATTTTACAATCTTTCGGTTTCCATCTGATCTTCTCATATGAAAAATCAGTCCGTTGCATCAACCGACAGGCCCACCCCGATGCAAGCCATTGCTTGCACTCAAATCCAGAATATAAAGGCAAGCTGTCATCTACCACCCACTTCCCTTTTGCATAATTACAAACTGCACAAGCCATAAATGCAAATTAGTATGTCCAAAACTTGTGTACAATAGCACACGCAACAAGACATCGAATTCGGATATTTGAATTTTAAAATGCAAGTATTTTGACAGCATGAGAGCTTGCTTTGCAACGATTGTATAAGATAATGGAGTCCACCAAAGAGCATGAATATTGGGATGTTTTGGCCTTTTGGGGGTTACCAAAGATTTCTAAATTACATGGAGGTCATGTACTCATGTATCAACAAGAGTCCTGAAACATGAATGATTTTTCACACCTAACTAAAACAAGAAAAACAAAGCAGCACCAGAAACCATGCATTCTAAAATCATATATCAATACATGGTTGCCCATCGACCCGTAGATATTTGACACTCGGAATGAGCTGCAAAGCCAAATGGATATACTCAGCAATCCATGTCACTAATGATGTGCCAAGTATTCAGCAACTATATGTTCATGGAAAACGGTCCAAATAAATTGCCAATCCTTAACAAATGACACTGACGATGCAAATATGATCTCTTCAGCTTTTAAGTGGCTTCAAAAGCAAATAGATTTGCAGTACTTAAACATGTAATTTTTTTTTTCTCTCCAGTTAAAATAATAGTCAACAATAACAATATTCCAAGTAAAGGGTAAACTAGAATGAGATTCTCTCAAAGACTACAGTAAAGGAAGCGACAACTAATTTAAATCATGTGCAATTCAATGTACCTTGATTATCTCCTACTTTCTCTGTATTCTCGTCATCTTGTTCCCCCTCAGCGGCTTTGTTTAATGTAATATTCAAACTCCGTTGAACATTCTGATTAGGTTTTCCTTCTGCTTCTCTCAAACTTAGAGTTTTATCTGCAGTTTGATATTTGCCTACTTCTGTTAAGACTTTATCTTTCTCCTTCATATCAGTTAAGTTCAGTGATATCTCTGTCAGGGAAAAGAAACAAATTTCGTTGGTGGCACAGGTAGATAACAGAATAAAAGTCATCATTGCTGCAAATAGTAACAGGTGACCCATTGTTAGGTAGAGTAGACTGAACAAGAAACACAGATTTTTTTTATTTGAAACTCATTGATCGCACAGCAAATTAAAAGAAGAATTATCAAACAGGATAATATCATGCCAACTGCTCTACTTGCAAGTATAAGCTCGGTGAGGGGCATAGGGGATACATGACACTCATTAAAAATCATCAAGTTTACTAAAATAGCAGAGGAAAACAGAGAGTACAGAAAGTTGATGAACAGAATCAACCTTTTCTCAGGCTCACTCAAGCTACCCTTGTAACTTTGCATAGGCTTAACTGACCAGTTGAAGGCCCTAGCTTATAACAGGTCCCTACTGTTAGAGGGGCTTGAGGAAGGAAATCCTAAAAATCTTGATGTTTTATTTAAAACATCCTCACAGTTAAGCTTTGATTTTCAACTGACAGAATATTGGTTTCCTTCTCCAGAATCCATGGGTATATGGCTTATATCTCTACTAAGAGTATTTCACTGCTAATAAATCATCCTAACAGTGATTTCAATAGTGTAACCTCTGAATCATTGACCTGAGTTCAAGCTTAAGATACTAGAACAAGTGAAAGCAAATTGAGGTAGAGTGATTATCAAATGATCCTATCTTTCATGAAATGTACCAGAAAGGAGGGCAAATGGTGCAACTACGTATTGGAGTAATATAACAATGGAAGCAAAGCAAAAGAAAGATATTTGCTTACCATTAGGGTCATTCAGCAGGTGAATGTATGAGCAATTGCAATTAACAGTTAACATTCTAAAGCAGAGTGGAAACTAACACAAGCTTAAATTGTCTAAGAAATATCTTTCTTTTGCTTTGCTTCCATTGTTATATTACTCCAATTTTCAAAGCAAAAAGAAATACCATTTTGGTCCCCATTTTCAAAGCAAAAAGAAAACAGAAACAAAGCCAACTACACATGAATTTACTGAACGAGATATTTGAAAAACTTTTGAAGGGATAAGCACGATTTGTCTGGTACAGCAAAGAATCCCTTTTACAGGCATCGATAGGCAACCGGGAAACTGCATGCTTGGTAAGAACGACAGACGAAGCCAGAAAAGGTACCTGAGTATGTCCTTATGACGGGAAGTGAGGCGGAAAGAAGTGGGGTTCTCTCCCATGCCAGCATAATGATGGTTATGCATACAAGCACAATTAGGAGAAAAGTTAACTCTCTACCCTTCACTTTGAAACCACCTCCTTTCATCTTAGCTGGGAAAAGAACAAGTATCAAGTGAAACTAAAAGAAAAATAAAAAACTTCCTCACGGACAATGATTTGTCCAATAAATGTTGTTCAAATGCAGAACAAAGACTAGGACGCAACATCAATATGAATGATGAATGAAAGAGTCCAATGACACTACAGCAGAAAGAAAGAATAACACAGGGTGGATGAGTTTCACTTTGCACACTGTAGCATACGCAAAACATGCTGCTACTGTTGCATTAGGTCCATCCCAGAATTACAAGACCTTTGCATAGACAAACTCGCCAAACAAAGTAATTTTAGAATGTTGACCCGTTCCTTGCAACAAAACAATCGTTATTTACTTCTGCGCTACATCTACGTGTTTGTTTCTTGCTAATTCTGACCATGCATATACTATACCTACCAATTCTTGACTATCTTCAAATTCAAGTCTCCCAACAACGAAGTTAAATAATAATTCTGATAATCTTAGTTAGAAAATCCCCAATATCTAATCAGGGTTATTGCCATATTCGTCTTCTTTCTTTATTTTCTGTAAGCTGCTAAATTCTCAATAAAATCGAAGAGAATCCTGACTTCCAATCAGGAACAATTTTTATTGCCGTATATCGATTAAAGTAGAACGCCAGTTGCAAAATTCCGTCACCGATCCGCTTATTATCAAGAACATCCCAAAAATAGGAACTAAATATATAATCCGCCGCCGCGGAATCCGAAGGGAGAAACGTGAATGCAGTAGAAAGCAACAAAAACAATGGAAGTTTCAAGATCAGAAGCCGAAAAGCAGAAGACTTGCATCTCTGCATCCCTAGTGGATGTGCATGCAAAGAGGCAAATCTGATCGAGAAGAACAAAAATAGAAAGGAAAGGGGAAAGTGCAGACAGATCGAACAGAGATTCGATCTTTGTATCCAATCCAAATGCAAGCAGCGGGGAGCACTTAGGAGGGAGATAGATTAACAAACAACAAAAAGAAGGAAGGATGGAGAGCGAGAAGTACCTTGGATCCCGGCGGGAAGAATTGGCGAAGAAAATTGAGGAGGAAGCCGGCCGGGGGTTGAAAATCTTTTGGGTGAAGGGATTAAATATAGTCCGACGGGAATGACGGGAATGACTCTGCGCAGACCGAGGAAAATGCGCCCCCTGCCTGCACCCAAACGTGTTTGTCTTTTCTCTTTCTCTTTCTCTTTCTCTTTCTCTTTCCCTTGTGCGCGCAGGCCAGGGAGGCAGGCAAAGGAACGACGGTCGATCGGGGTAATATAATTATATTATAATAATTACTTTGCATATATATATATCATAATAACAAATATATATACGGCAATTAAAGTGGAGAAGAAAAGAGGGGACGATTAAGGCGAGGAAAGAATTGGAAGTTGGAACTTAGGGTCGTTTGCTTCATGGATTTGGATCATGGATTTGGTACCCAAATTCTCAAATCCAATTCATCATGCATTTAACAAAAATTCATTGTTTTCTTGCACTTTTTTTGGAGATCAAATCCATGGGGCCCACGGATTTGAAGGGTCCAAATTCGTGGACCCCACGGACTTATAAATCCCACATGTTGATGTGGGATTTGAAACATGACATAAATCCTTGATGGGATTTTATCTATATACCCTCATGCACTTTTAATATTCCAAGGTTGTCCTCAAATTTAAATATTACACATTATAATTAATCAAGTAATTAACAATAAATGAATAATATAAACATTCAATTAATGTGCAAACATGAGTTAGATTTTTTATATCATTTCTTGTATTCTAGTTTTCTTTGACCTTTTCATGGAACGTGTAATTCTTTGTTCTCCCGATTCGAATATATGTTATATGTTACTTTTGATAAGGAGGACAAAGAATTGGTAATTGATTATGTTACGTTAAAAGTTATACGGAATTTTCTCATTTATTATTATTGTCCATGTGGCAACATTATGCTTATTAGTATGTATTGTCCTTGTTTTGTGTACATATCATAAACATGTCAAACATATAGAAAAGGATAGTAAGGTAATTTTCAAGTTTTGTCCTTGTTTTGTATACATATCATAAACATGTCAAACATATAGACAAGGATAGTAATGTAATTTTGGACTTCAAGTAGTAAATCCCACACCTTTAAATCCATGATAAAAACATCTCAACAAACAAAGGATTGTTACAAATCCATGATGCCTCAAATCCTGGATAAATCCTTGGGTTTTTAAATTACAAAACCCTCGTTTTTAAATCCATGAAGCAAACGACCCTTCTTCTCGCGGCTGTCATTTCCGTTTCACCCGTCAGTGACATCCTTCCTTCCTTTCCATCCCCACAATCTTCTTTTCGTCTTAAAGACAGGGCCTTTCCCCAGATGTTTTGCGTCTCTCTCCCTCCGTATATTCCTCTGCCATTATTAGCTGGCTAAAGCTGGGGATGCTTTTTTGTTTTTGGATCTTCCTACTTAATTAGTTTAAATGAATAAATAATTAACTACAAGTGGAATATATTACTGATGATAGCTCAATTTCGACATGATCTGTGTCTAACATGTTTTATCCACTCTCTAGTTGTGTTTGATCAATTAAGAAGCATTTGATTGGTCCATATAAGAGCAGCCAATCGTTCAATTTAAAAAGTCATTTACAACTTGAAACAGACTGATAGCACAACCCGCTTACTACAAAAATTGTCAAGAATCCTAAAGATCTCGGACAACAAGACAAGGAACGTCCACATTGGTCGCATTTAGGCAAGATCCGCTTATTTGACCGCACGACCTAATTGTTCCTGACCTAAGGCACCAAAGGACTTACTTTGCTCAATCGACCTTGATTGGCACACGACCAGATGGTATAGTCCAACTCATATAGGGGATAAGACCATGTGGTGACAACCAGGCCTTCTCTCGGAAGTCGAGAGAGATAGTCAATTCTTCAATCACAGTGGTCGCCTTTTAAACAAAGAATTCACAAATCCCTCCTTCACGTAAAGGTGGTATTAAAAACAGGTGTTCTTAAAAATTCGAGTTGTTAAGAGAGGTTCAATAATGAATCTTCTACCACATAATAATATGTTCCCTCAAATTCAAGCTACTCAGATGAGCTTGAAGTTTGCTCAATTCGAAAATGGGATCGCCAACATTCGAATAGAAGACCCTTTGGTCACTAAAGGCTCTTATACCATGTCAGGAACTAGTTCCTCCCAATAACTCGAGTTGTTGAAAGATGTTCAATAATTAATCTTATATCACATCCTGACTGGTGGTCCCCGCAAACAAAAGGAATAATGGTCTTTACAGTATTGTTAGGGATGTGGGAATCCCGAGCGACACATAGATGATGTACCGTTCTTAGATCGTTTTGTGGCTCAAATCCAATCAATCAGACATACAAGAAACCATAAGGCCTCTCACTTTCCTATAAATATCAGGATTCCAACCCTCTTGAGAGATAACTCATTTATATCCACTACACTTCAAAATTTCCTTCTCTTTCATCCCTTTCTATGGTTTTCCTCACTAACTTGATTGTCGAAGGGAAATCCTAGGCTACCAAACATAGGTTTTGCACTGTCTTACTGGTTAGCGGACTAGAGCTGACCTACACCAACACAAGAGGATTTTATGATTCTCAAGAGATTTTTTGCAATCCATATTTCTATTGATCTAGTTCTTTCATCAAGGCCATACCAAAAGACTTTTCCAGAAACACCGAGAAACAAAAATTCCTCCAAAACACCCCACTCAATGGTCGTTGATTCTCTAATTCATTTCACTATACGTGTATATTGTGGATAGTCTTTGTTAAGCCTTGAATCTCGATTAAAGCAGACAATGCCCTCTTTAATAGATTTCTCAGTCGGACACTATTCTTAACTAAAACAGAATACCAAGGCAATGAAAATTAGATTCTCTCTACTGAATTGAAATCCAGTACAAACTAGTGAATCGATTCACTCTCGTGCAATTTATTGCCTACTTACAATTGACGTTGATCTATCAACTTATTTAGATATTCCATCTTCTAGGATAAAGCAGAAATCATAAGAATTTGTTCAAGATTCAAAAAACTCATGAAATATTGATTTGGGTCCAATTGTACACATTTACCCCTCATTTCTTGTTCATTTTGCTTAGTAGATCACCGTCCCTCGGCCTATTTTACGCTAGGTTGTGCTTGTTTTGTTACATTAAGGTCTTAGCACGTGTGGGAAGGTCACGCCCTGAGACCTTGAAAATCACCCCCAGGGAGTGAAGTGATGACTTCACGGTCTAGACTCATTTATCATGGTCGCTAAGACCGTGAACTAGTGCCCTAGACCGTGAAGTGGCCAATTTCCAGAGCCATTTTTGTTCTCACTAGACTCAAGTCAGTTCAAGGACGCTAAGACCGTGAACTGAAGTCCTAGACACTGTCGGGCAAATATAAAGACAGCAGTGGGGAGAGAGAAAGGGGGAGCCAGCTTTTGGAGGAGAATTTGATTCTCTCTCCAGGGTTCGACCAAAAACACCAAAGGGGAGTTCTAGTGAGAGAGAGAGAGAGAGAGAGAGAGAGAGTTTGAGTGATCTTGGAGCTTAATTGAAGGCATTGATCAAGCTTTAAAGCAAGAAATCAAACCTAGAAGAAGAAGAAGATCTTGGGCTCCAATTTGTAATTTCTCTCTTCTGTCTTTAGAAACTCACCCTCTTCTCTTGGGTTTAAGAACCCTAGTTCTAGATTTTGATTGTGTGTTGTTGTTTTTGACGAATTCCATGTTTTTAGAGTTTATCATCTACGTTATGGATGATTTTCATGAATGGCATGAGTTTGGATTCCATTCATGTTTTGAGCTTTTGACCTATGATGGAGAAAATACCTTTAGAGCCCCTTTCTTGGCATCTTCAGGTCACTCTTCACCCTATATCATCTGTGTAATCCCCGAGGGATTCGATTGGATCGAGCGCCTATGATATAGGGGTGCCCTAGGTTGAATAGAGAACCACCCATCCATCACTTCACCGTTCCGGGTC